TATATATAAAAGGTAGGGTAAGGTCGTACACACTACCCTCCCCAGACCTCATTTATGGGATTACACTAGGTTCGTTGTTGTTATCATGGCAAAGGTTTATGGACAAACCATCTCAAATTCTCAATATAGTCAAACACATGCCGCCGAAACGATGCAATTGGTATCTGTATTTTTATCCAAAATACTTGGACACATTCAAAAATCCCATCTTATTCCAGAGAAAAGCTCTTAAGCGATGGATTTACTGGAACACGTAGAAAACGTCCAAAAAGGTTTTTGTTCTGAAATAGCTACTGTATGGATGATCCAAATATCCCTGCCATTCAGCTTAATCTTGCTTTATGGACATTTCAGATTCAGCTTAATATTCCTTTATGGACAATTCAGGGGCCTGACAGTGCATAGGAATTAGGAGGAAGCAGATTGCAAGAAACTAGAACAGGCAATGATGATAAACAGCAAGATTAAAATGGCACTGCTGAATGCAAGGTTTGCTTAGAGATTACAGCTAATCCACTGTAACAGCACAATATTCTCCCTCATAACCGCAGCAGAAGGAATTCAAAGCTCAGAATATCAAATACCTATAACCATGGACATCAATATAAATTTGGCAATTTTCAACTTGATTCATAAGCCATCTGAAAAACTCATAAAGCTGACATATAAAAAGAAATATGACATACCATGGTGAATAAATATCTCCACCATGCAACTGCTTTTTAAACGCAGCCAAATCCAAAGAATTCGAAAAGTTTCCACTCAGAACTTTGTAGTTCAGAAGAAAATTTATTAGTGAGCAAAGACTATGGCCTGCCACCTTACAAGCCACGCCGTAAGCAATATGTTCCTCCACACAATACAACAAAATAACATCCAGATGACCTTTTCTCCAAAGAAGGCTCCAATTATTACCAGCATAAATCAAATAGCAAGCACAGGGATGGTGGCAGATCAGGGAATAGTGCGTTGATAAAGAGGCAACGCTCCCAAAGCTTCACGTTCTGCCTTCTCCTTCTTTATCTTCAGAAAGGCAAATTTCAGAGAAGGATATTTAAGGTAGTCCCCTTGATATGAACTAAATTCTCAAACAACTATTACAGTGGCAAGTTTTAAACATATTCAGGGGCGGAAGATTTTCTGACTTCATCAGTAATAAAATTAAAGGAGTATCTGTTTTCATCTTGGGTTGGTTTGTGGTGGTTTGGGGGTGGGTTGGTGTTTCTCAAAATTAAACTAAACATTCTTCTAGGAAATAGCTAAAAATGGGTCAAGTATCTGCAAAAAAGCTAGCTTGAACAAACAAAAATTATTGTCCTATTGCATTACAAAAGTCTGGTTTCACCTTACATCCAATGTATACAAGACTTGATATTTCAACAGGTTACAGATTGATGTTTACAGTTTATAGTTTAACTAGTATCTTTAAACTCCCACATTGGAGACTTTCATCTACATCTTGAATACGGAAAGCCACAAAGCACAGTACATAGAAAGCAATAGCCTTGTCAAAACTTAATTACCAACACCATGTCCTGGTGGACGGAGACGAACAAAGGAGCTTACAGGCCAATGTCGAGTACATAAGTATCAATTAGATGTAGGATTCTTTTTCTAGTATGCAGAGCAGGTGGCAATATCAGGCGTTATCAAATTGCCTTGAGGCAGTTACTTGTATAAGGTGGTGGAAGTGAATTGGAAAGAACAACTCTCAATGTGCTGCTTGATTATTTGATTTCTTGTTTTCTTTCTCAAGTAGCTCCTTGCTACAAAAATTGGACATAGTACATGTGCTTTGAAAGAACTAGTAGTTATGGATTTTGATTTACCTGTTATTAAATTGTTAAGCAAGAAGCGTCTTATTATCCATATAGATAATGTCAAGCACAAAAAATGATATTTGAACTGTGGACTTCACAAAACAGACTCCCATCCCCAAAAAAGAGAAAAATGAAGTTCAAAATTGCCAAATGCTTCTCTAATCAACTCTATATTTGTGAAGGAAATCAAATAGTATCAAATAACTCTGGCTACAACCAGTTAGAAACATGAACTCACCAGAGATATCATGTCATGTAAATAACTCCTAAATGGCGTCTGCTTTGCCTGTACATATAAAATACCCAGGAATCATAAACTATATCAGAACATATACAAAGACAATAGCCACATGCATGATATTAAGATATCTAGTATTTTGGAAATGAAAAACACAAATGGAAGATACATTACAAACTAAACAAAAAGAACATTGAAGCTGCAAGTATAGGAGGTCCTACTATCAAATAGAAAAAAGGCCTTATTTTATTCATTCCTTTTCTCTTTTCTCTAATCTTTTCGACTCAGATTCAAAGAAGTTAACGTCTTCTCACTAGGATCACCTAGAGCCCCTTTGGGGATGAACACTATTTCAGTATTCTAGTTTAGCCATGAACACTGGGTTTCAAGTAAAACATTATTTGAACCTTAAGCAAAATATGAAATATAAATATGTATTTCAAGTGAAATACTTGTTTCCATTCATAAATCTTCAACTTTCACGAACTTTTTTTGTTCAAGTGAAGTTCATGCCACCATACAAGTTCCGAAGGAAATAAATCCAGGCACCCATGTGGGTGAACTCGAAAAGTAAAATAAAATTAAAATGAAAGAAAAGGAGAAGAGACACAATCGGTTGCCAATGGTAGTGACAGTTCAAGTAGACAACAAGTTATCTTGTTTATAAAGGATATTGCTTTTTCCTTTCGTTTTAGCGTTTTTTTTTAACGATGGTGTCCCAACCAACTTGTGTGCACCTCTATTATTTCACGGGGTATTTATTATTAGCTATTTTTGCTTCTCTTTCTTCCAGCAAAAGAAATTGAAAATCTTCCGGCCTTTGTTCTTTGTAAGCAGATTTCAAATATTTTTATCTATCTGTAACGCATGTGTGACAAACTATGAACCTTTTCTATACAGTTCATATTCAAATACATGTGATTGTAATATTGGCTAGTGAAAGAAGTATGAATACACCCATTCAAAAAAATATTTTCCATTTCAAAAGAAACAAGAACGAATACAGATTAGAATCCATATATTGTGTGTTCCTGTTTTCTCCTTCATTGGCATCAGAACATAGGTTTATTTGTATCTAGTCCCTAAAGATAAAGGAGAAAAACGTTCCCCCTCAGTATGAGATTTCATTCTTCAAAAGCCATGCTCCAGAATCTGTCTTCTTTGAATGAAGTTAGAAATAGACAGAAATGACAAGAATTTTGCATGATTCATGAATCTCGTACAGATGGTGGTTTTGCCGATAACCTTGCCGCATAATTAAGAAGACTATTGAATGATTTATATGCTGATACGCAAGATTGCAAACTCATAAACACTTTCTATTTCTAGAGCCAAAGCTTCAGCCCATAGGATATGTCCACATACTTCACAATAGCAGGACCAAATAAAAAGGAGTTCTTTAGACAAGTGCAACAGGTATGTGGTTTGCAGGCTATTACACAGGAGGGAGGTTTACCCAGTGCGCACCAAGTGTAGCGGCTGCGGGTTACCCTCCTTNAAAAAAAAAAAAAAAAAAAAAAAAAAAGAGTGCAACCGGTAATCTAATGCATATCATGCTGTGTGCTATACCGAATATACAACAACAACCCATTGTAATCCCACAAGCGGGGTCTGGGGAGGGTAGGATGTACGCAGCCTTACCCCTACCCTAGAAGTGCAGAGAGACTGTTTCCGATAGACCCTCGGCTAAAGAAAGGATGGAAGAAGCACCTATAGCAAGTAATATCAAAATACAAGGTATTTAGAAAGCAAAAGAGGGTTTGAAAGAAGCACTAATAGTCAGTAATAACAGTACAAGATATGAAATGATAACAAACTAAGGGCGTATGGAAGGCAAGTAACAACACAAAATATGTGGTAATACCAAACTAAGAATAAAAGGGATACCAGCTAACACTAATACTATTGAACTAAGGAAGACACAGGGAAACGCTCGACTACCTAATAACCATCTACCCTAATTCTCAACTTTCACGCCCTCCTATCAAGGGACATGTCCTCGATTAGCTCTAGTTGTGCCATGTCCCGCTTGATCACCACTCCCCAAGACTTCTTTGGCCTACCACTACCCTTCCTCTTACCCCCAAGGCCAATCTCTCACACCTTCTAACTGGGGCATCTGTGCTCCTCCTTTTAACATGCCTGAACCATCTTAGCCTCGCTTCTCGGATCTTTTCCTCCACAGGGGTCACTCCCACCTTGTCCCGAATAGCTTCATTCCTAATTCTATCTAACCTAGTATGCCCACACATCCATCTCAACATCCTCATTTCAGCTACTCTCATCTGCTGGATATGGGAGTTCTTGACTGGCCAGCACTCTGCCCCACATGCAAGTCCTTCTTCATCGCCCTATACTGCTCCACCAATCTCCTCACAAGGTGAATGGCTTCAGTAGTCGACCGTCCCGGCATGAAACCAAACTAGTTCTCGAAAATGGACACACTCCTCCTCATCATCCCTTCGATCAGCCTCTCCCAAACTTTCATCATATGGCTCAACAACTTGATACCCCTATAGTTGTTGCAGTGTTGGATATCCCCTTGTTCTTGTACAACAGAATCATCGTACTCCACCTCCACTTTCCAGGCATCTTCTTCGTCCTAAAAATGACGTTAAACAACCTAGAGTCATTCCAAACCTGCCTTACCCACACTCTTTCAGAATTCCACAAGGATCTCGGCTGGCCCGGTCGCTCTACCCCTACTCATCCTGCGCATAGCCCCTACAATCTCCCCCATTCTTATGCATCTACAGTACCCAAAATCCCGAAGTCGCTCCGAGTACTCCAACTCACCTAGCTCAATGCTCTTATCTCCCTCTTCATTCAAGAGTTTATGGAAATAAGACTGCATCTCTGCCTAATTTGTGCCCCCTCCAACAGAACTCTACTGTCTTCGTCTTTTATGCACCTTACTTGGTCCAGATCACGGGCCTTACTCTCTCTCCTTCGCCAGCCTGTACAACTTCTTATTCCTGCCCTTGTCCCCAAGTTCTTCATATAAACGACCAAATGCCTCAATCTTAGCATATGACTCAGGAAAACAATACTAGAAAGAAGCTAAAAGGATACCGAGGTATTCAAAGGCACACCGACTATCTTCCAATCTATAATAAATTTGGGGATGATCCAAAAATGAAAGTTGTAACCCTTTGAGTGTAGTTCTCAGTGGTTCAAACCGTTCGACATTTTGACATTAACATAACTCCCTCAATTAAAAGCACAGCCTTCTACAGACCAGAGTGCGGCCAGCACTGCAAAAGTTTCATATTGTATAAATATGGAGTTTTGGTGATTATGTTACTTTTCACCATTTTGGAGCTTGGGGTAACTGATTCTAACTTATTTGAATTTATTTCATGAATTTAACCTAAGATCTGTCATTTAAATATGGATTCAAGCAGAAAATGAGGATTTCTTACTTGAATGTTAAGAAAGTACTTTTGAGGATTTGAATATGATTTGGATTAGGACTGAGAATCTAATAACATATTTGGACTCGCGAGGTTATGGGTAAACGGAATTTGACTCTTGTTACTGACTCTGGTTTCGGAATCTGATCATGTAGGCCTGGGGTTGACTTTTGTTGACTTTGATCTAAGCCTATCTTTTGCTTATGGAATTGAGTCCTACGACTTGGAGTGATATTGTGGAGCATTCTTTGGGCTAGATCGGGCTCGTTTGATGGAGTTGGAGAAGGAAAAGACGGATTTTGAGGAATAAAGCTAGTTTGGGATAGAGGTAAGTACCTTGGTTGACTTCGATATAGAGAATTTTTCCTAAAAATGATATTGTTGCTATGTGCTATTTGTTTGGGGTAACGTATATGCGAGGTGAAGAGCGTATATACGGATGCCAAGATTTATCCATGCTTGGGGTAGCTTGTTTAGCCTTTTTATGCATGTTTGTTACATGCCTTACTAGTTGCATGTTTTATTTTGCTCTATGACTATTTGAGCATCTTATTTATGTTGTATAACGTTATAGGCATCATTCACATGCTAGTTTCAACACCACCACCAACAACAACAAAAAACCCAGTGTATTCCCACAAGTGGGGTTTGGTTTGGAGAGGGTAGTGTGTACGCAGAGCTTACCCCTACCTTTAAAAAAGCAGAGAGGTTGTTTTCAGTAGACCCTCGACTCAGGAAGATAAAGGGAAGGGCCAATGATGAGCAAAATTCACATGCTAGTTTAACATTATGATTTCATGTACTCGTTTTACATTATGGAACTACTACGTCATATGCTATTTCTTACATGCACCTTGTTAGCATATATATTCTATTCTCATTATTTATTTGAGATTGTTACGCGGAAAGTTGAGTTTATTGGGGGTATGCACTCACGTTGAGGTATCAGTTAGGGCATACAACAACATGTTCTTGTTGAGGTATAAGTTTGGGCATGTCATTGCATGTTCCTGTTGAGGTATCAGTTAGGGCATGTCATTACATGTTCCTGTTAAGGTATTAGTTTGGGCATGATTATTTCATGTTCTTGTTGGGTATGTGAGATCACATTCCTGTTGCGCGTAGATTTGGATCTATACCTCAATAGTCATATGATCAGCCATTTTATCTTGGTCGTGTGTACGCAGGTTATGAGAAACCGTTGTGTTTCTGGTTTGCATATGGTACCGATTAATGAGTTTGAGCATAAAGGTGGAAGCTGTATTTTGTTTAAGTGATTCTTTAATCATATCAATGCACTCAAGTGCTTTATTCATACACATCGTCTATATATGCTTTTAATGCATTCTTACACATGCATAGAACTTGTTAACGGGTTGTTGGCACTTGGAAGTGTCGGTTTGATGTAAAGGTTGAATATTTATCATACATCCATATAGATCTTGAGAAGAAGAAAAGGCTTTTTATAATTCTGTGTGTATTTACATCCCATGAGGAAGGGAATTTATACAAAGCTCTTAATGTTAATTAAGAAAATAAAATAAATCTATACAAACAATCCAGCTATCAAATGAAATCAAATAAAATAAAATCTCCTAAATATAATAATATCTCCTTGAATCATGCTAATCAACA